CGCCGGGAAACTCGGCGGCCCTGCGCTCGTTGACGGACCCGAGAATGGAACCATTTGTCCAGTATGGGTTTGGCCCCCTCCACACGAGGTACAATAACTATAGTTGGGCCAGGGTGCCGCTTGACAATGTGGTACCCAATGTCCGCAAGCCAGGGGCGGCCCCATTGGCGCCGGCCCTGTCGATATGGGCGTGGTTACGGCGGCTACTGGTGGTGCAGCAATTGTCTGTGGGGCCTGTCCTTTGCCAGACCCTTGGCCACCCAACAATAGATTGCGTTGCTTCCGCTGGGCCTTGGTAAGGATTTGTGACCCCGTCTCCTCCCCACCGTAATCCTCTTGCCCGGCGCCTTCATCCCCCACCTCTTTCCCTCGGCCTTGGACCACGGCAACCGCCTTTCTCTGTGTCTCGGCATCCTGGCCATAGCCTAATTCCGCAAGCACATCAGTGACGACCCTCTTTAACCCTGGGGTCCCTGATGCAGTAGGGTCCCTTTCCTTCCTCTTCCTCCTTTGCTGGCGCATCTGATGCTGCTCTACCTGGTCTAAACTCCCATCCTCCACTCCTCTGTCGATGGTGGCCCAAGTAAGCTTTGCGCTGCCTCCTCCATGACTTGTCAGTTCGGCTGCCTCTGACCCAGTAAGCAGTCCCAGAAAGATAGCGCACTGCCTCTCCTCAGAGATCCCGTGAACTTTCCTTGCCTTTTTCTTAAATTCTTGTACGAAGGCCCCTATCGTGGTAAAGTCATCCTTGTTCATTCCCTCAAGATCTTGGATGGTAAGCAACCCATCACCCAACCGATACTTGCGCAGCATGTTCTCCCTGAATCTTGCCCAACTGTCGTGGGCGGCATCCACAACCTTCTGCACCTCCTAATGGTGCCTATGGAGCACGTACCTCATGATACGCTGAAATTTCACCTCATCTGACAGTCCCACCATTGCCTGCTCCACCAAGTCTAGACAGTCTGAGACCCTCTCCCCATCGAAGTGGAATGTCTCAACCCTCGGAACATTACTTGGGGTCTTCTCACGTCGATCTAGGGCTTCGATGAGGTCCTCAAGGGTCAGGACCCTTCCAGCGCCACCATTTTCCGGGATCTTGGTAGGCCTCCTTTTCCAATTTCCTGTTATGAGCAAACCAAAGACACTCACTTACTTAGCATCCGACTCCAACCTGGTCTAGCCCGCATTTCTCACCTAGCGTCACCCTTGTCGTGAGTGTTGCCACCCTTTACGCTCTTGCTAGGATCGGGCAGACAATCAAATACACATATACCGGCGCTAATTTCCCCTTTTTATACTTAGTCCCTCATCACTTACCTTTCACTTCAACCACACTTGTCACTCTCTTATGCCTATTTTCTCACTTGTACCCGGATGTCGTTCCACCAGGGACAACGGTAGGCTTCCGTTATCCCCGGGAACGGCGCCACCTGTCGAGCGCATCAGCCCGGCATTGCTCGTGGCAGCACGGGACCCTCTAGGCCGCGTCACGCAGGAGTTGGACTAACCTTTTCGCGAACACACAAATGGAGCTTCCTTAGGCCGCTCTGACAGAGTGCGCCAGCCGTACCTCTCGCGAGCCCCTACGACAGGATAGGGTCTACGCGAGGCACAACTTACCTCCACCTTACGGGAGTTGTCACCACCCTTCGGTAGGCGTATCCCCGCCGAGTTACCAGTCCACAGTACGAAAGCTACTCGATTGCAATCGCAGAGGTGGACCAGCTGAGGGCGTTTCTCGTTCGCTGTAGCATAGGGGGTACGCGCGGTACCACACCTATCGGATCCGCAAGCGGACCGACACCTTGGGGGGCTGAAGTCGCAAGGGCGGTTCGTCGCCGGTCGGCTATGACGTATCCCACTTACCACGCATACACTACTCTACAGACACAAAGGGAATGCATACACGCACACACACACGAAACGACACGGCACAAACAACGCGACAACGCTCCTAGCCCCTCAGTAGCCGTCCCATAACCTTTCGACGCGGAATTCGTGTGGGCGTTGCGTGCGAGGCTNACACGGCACAAACAACGCGACAACGCTCCTAGCCCCTCAGTAGCCGTCCCATAACCTTTCGACGCGGAATTCGTGTGGGCGTTGCGTGCGAGGCTTAGTATAAAAGTCGCGCAAACGCAGAGCTACTCATATTGACTCGCAATGCGAACGTGCGCAAACGGTCGCGGCAATGACGTACTATATAGTACTCACACCCATGCGGTCCTCGTTGATATTGAGGGCCGCATTCGACACTCAAGTGTCGGCTGACACGCACCTTGAGGGTTAATCTCTCGACGCTGGACAACCGTCATGCGCGGTTGAAGACCACACCCTTTTCTGCACCCTGTGCAGAGGGGTTGAGTAGACGACTTTAAGCTGTCGTGGCGGTCAAACATCAAGGAGTTTGACTTTGACGACCGCCACAGACTATAACGTCCAACCATGAAAACGCAAAAAGGAAACTCACTCCAATTCTCATTAGCAGATGGCCCCCTAGAATAGAAGGGGGTAGACAAGTCCAAACGACGCGAGCATGGAGGAGGCCGGGTATCCTCCCCATAGGCTACCCGGCGTCAGGGATAATGAGGTCCGTACACGGACTCCCATAGGCCGACCGGGACTAGTCCTCCGCCCACGTGCCGCTTCACGTTACCAAAGTCCCTAGTTTATTGGCCGTGTCACGCTCGTGGTCTGGCCGCCTGACCCATAACTCTTTTAGTATGTGATGCGACGAGTACTGCGCACACAAACTTAATATTTGATCGCAAGGGCGCTGGGCTTACACATATTATCTCGCTATGCAGCTCTATGCGAGTAACTGCAATGACGACGCTTTATGTAGTGCCCATACCCAAATGGCCTATTCTGAGCTATGGGGTCATCTTTGACGCTCAGGTGGTGACTGAAACACTAGCTAAGGGGAGACAACCCTTTAGTAGGCGCAAAACCGACCTGAGGGTCTTTCCGCCTTCTGCACCCTGAGGTGTCCCAACGGGTGCGGGGTAAGACGACCCCTAGGGCGGGAGGGGGTTTGGAGCGGTGGTGAGTTGTCTGGCGCATCACMAGCGACACGCTAACCCTTTCGCCCGGAACTTTATCGTTCYACCAAGATAAATCGCAACAAGGAAGGGGAACAAGCACTTTTACCGTTTATTAAAGRAAAACCCCTCTCGTGTTAGGCTCGGGGCCTTTACTGCGCGGGCACTTCARGCCGCGCTAATTCTTCATGTAGGTACACATACACTCGTACATACATACACACAAGGGGGATAATWATGTGACGATCRCTTCTCACAATCACAGTGGGTCTCCTTCTAGTTATACATATATGTGCGACCGCAAGGCAACCCAACCAAAACCCCAAGTCTCTGAACATACCTGCAATCACATCGAAAGTCAGAGAAGAGTCCACACACTACACGGAGTCAACTCCAACCAGTTCCTATACTCATACCCCTTGCTTTAACCATGCAAGCCCCAACTTCCAGCCAACCAACCTTAAATAAATACTTAGTACCTTTGTTAAATGACCATTCAATAAAAGTCCGGATGAAACCTTTAACAAACAAGAAGATCACCAGGGCTAAAGCCTTTTAGGTTGAGTATGGGGACCGAGTAGGAATTGAGTCGTGAACCGACGAATCGGCAACCGACCTGTTATCCGTGATAACAAATGATGATCCTGGTAGGATCAAGCTGAACTAGCCCAAGTCCTGAATCAGATTGATCAAGCCGGCCTGTAACATAAGACAGGTCAACACCCAAGACTAAATTTGTAAGCCTTATGCGAACTATCTTCTATATGGTGGTCCCATCTAACATTCTGGTAGCCAACTGGGTCCGAGCCTAGCTCTAAGTCAGGGCTCAAAGAAAAAGGAAGACTTTTGGTTGGGCTTCCCCTATACAGAGTAGTATGCCAACTTTGCCACCTGTCATAATATAATTTGGTTGGGCCTAGCCCTAAGTCCGGGCTAAAACAAAACGGTAGACTTTTGGTTGGGCTTCCTCTAAACTAAGGAAATTTTGGCAGCGCTTCCCTTAGGAAAACTGCCTTTCCAGAATTTATATAAGCCTGAATATAAAAACAAGTATAGGTATTGACTTTTCAACGTTTAATTTTGTTTAACTCCCTAAACCAGCAAAAATTTGGGCATCACTCTCTTTAGAAAGGGAGACTTTCCAGATTTCTACTAGGCCATATATGTAACTTAGACAAGCTGAAATCTGAAAAGTCTAAATTTGACTAACTTATTGGATTTGCAGAAATTTCGGCAGCGCTTCCCATAGAAAAAGTGGCTTACCAAGATTTATACAAGCCCCAAGTATAAGAAAGACCTTAGATAAATGCAGAAATCAGACTAAGTAAAAAAAACTATCTTAGAAAATGCAGAAATTGACTCTAACTCCTATAGCTCTAGCACGTGGCGAACCATTACAGCATTTACCTATCAACTCAAACTCAAACTAGGTAGTGATGCCACTCAGCCACATGCAAGCCAAACCACAAAGGTAAGTACTCTCATCAACCCCAGGTTGACTTAGCAAATATTAGTTCATAGTCTTTCAGTGTTTTAACCCTTTATACCCTGCTTACGTAGGGCATTGGGACTGGTCATTCATCTTAGAAACAATGTCAACCCTCTGCCTTAGTAATACACGAACAGGTTGCACAACTATTTTTCTCTTCATTGGGCATGTAACTAAGCCATTCATTTTAGAAACCATGCTTAGTCGCCCTGAACTGTTTAAATAGCCAAGATATATATACCTCTCTGCACCTTAGTCTTCAAAAAAGAGGGCGTAGGGCTGAGTCATTCATCTTAGAAACAATGCTCATCATGTCCATTTTACTTTCAATTATAGCTCTCGATTATACTCTTCTTCGCTTGTGATAAGGCTATAGCCAGGCCATTCATCTTAGAAACAATGTCTGGCTAGCCTTGTTCATATATAAGTACATATATATACAATATTTATAGAGAATCTCATTCCTTTGTTCTCATTATGGTCCTGAGGCCTCAGACTTAGACCATTCATCTTAGAAACAATGTCTAGTCCTCTGGCCCTGAATCCCCCCTCAGAATAAAACAATGAAGGAGAGATGAGTCATTCATCTTAGAAACAATGCTCAACTCTCCCTTTTTCAGCACACAAAAAAAACAGAGTACCCTGGGTCTGACCCAGAGACTGTTCAAAAAACACCCAAGTAAACAGCGGTCAGACAATTCATCTTAGAAACAATGTCTGACCCTCACAAGTCAACCAAACAATACCCCTCAAAAATAAGTAGCCAGATCATTCATCTTAGAAACAATGCCTCGCACAATCAAAGAAACACAGCAACCAAGCCATTCATCTTAGAAACAATGCTTGGTCCTTCAGAAAACATAACGAAATATAGCAGTCAGGCCATTCATCTTAGAAACAATGCCTGGCCCTATAAGACCCATTCAATCGCAAGCAAAACTGCCTTCCTCCCAACCTTCCCCCTGATGCAGCCTCTTGTGACAATCTGCATTCAGACAAACAAGAAACTGAAACTGTCATTATACAATCATTCATTTAGTTAGTCTGATTTGTGTCCTGAAAACCAATCCCAAAAGTCAAAATAAGGGTTGCACTTATCATAACCAGCCAATACATAGGGAGGAGTGTAGGTAGGGGTTATACTGGGTTTATAAGGGAAAGCCAAGGTTCCCTCTGAGTTCCCTGCCTCCAGAACTCCTCCTGAGTTCCGGCAGTGCTCCCGCAATCAGTGGGGCAACCTCCCACAAAGGCCTTGGCGCGGGTTACGGGTTGCAATCCTGTCTGCCGCCTTCCTTTCCAAACCAATGGACTAGATTGAGAGTGAGAAGG